CTCTCTCCAGGTTGTGGCTCCGAACTTGTCCTAATCGCGAAGTCCTTTGACTGGCCCGGTGTGTTTGCCTCTTTGCTTATCGTTGTCACTACACCAAATTTGTCCATGGTTCCAGTCTCTCTTCCGACGTGTGCCTCACTCTCCTGGATCGAACTATTGAGGCTGACTTGAGATCCAAAGTCCCCTTGCTCCTCTTCATCCTCTTCCTCCTGGGACTCACCATCGTTTCCTGCTCCTCCTCCCATGCTGAATGGAAAGATGTTTCCGAAGGTTTTCTTCATTCTTTCTGAGAACGATGATGAGGTTGTTTGTTTCCCAGTTCCGCTTGCCATCATAGTGTTGTCTGTCGGAGATCTTCTTGTTGCCGTTACTTCAGTTGAGATGTCGGACAGTTCCGACATCTCCTCTCGATCCAATGACCCGGTGGAAGTGGCAAAATCATGGCCTTGTTCTACCGGAGTAGATTCACTCGCCAGCCTTCTGCCTCTCCCTTCCAGGCCATTTACTCCCTGGTTGTCGTTCATGGTATGGTCCGTATTGACCTCCACTTCTAACAGTTCTCTTCGCTCTTCTGAGGTCTTCTGACTTCTCGTTTCAACCATTCTGCCTGAAACCGTCTCCTCTTTATCGGACCGGGATCGCTTGATCCAATCCACAAAAGGATCGGTCATCGTTTTTCTTTGCTTTTCAGGTATGAATTTCCTAGAGCTATTACCTCGTTTTGGTATCCTTGACTTGTCTAAACTCATTCTCTATTTGTCACTTTCCTATGCCTACTCTTGACTCAATTGCTAGAGACCTTATAGTTTTATTAACAATAATAATGACACAACACAATAAATTTCACCAGATTCTACTAAATAGTGACCACGAATCCCTGTATGTTGTCCGAGTACAGTCTGTATAAAATTTATTCACACTAGCCGATTATCGGTCAAAGATCTGGAAACTAGCACAATATGATGTTATCAGTCAATTTAAAAGATAGTGTACTCACTACCCAATCAAGCACAGTTTAGGTTGATTTAAAATCAAAAACAAAAAATATATATTGACACAATATGAATGTATATAAAAAAAACGTATGTGTCTTGTACTCTTAGTTGGTCGCAGTACAATAGTCGAACCTGTCTTTTAAAGAAAGAGCTTTCCCTGCTTGGTGCTGCACCAAACAGACAAAACTTTGAAGGCAGTTATTTTCTCAAGTGGGCGTCTATTGCACCCACCGAGTACTGTGTTACCTATCTGCCTTCGGACTGCCCGAGCTAGACCTACTAAATTCCTCAGGGCAGTCACTTTTCCCAAAAACGTATTATGTTCCAATCCACACCAATGAGTCACGCTCTTTTTAATTTAGACTTAGTGTCTCGAATATCCGAGTTCGGACCTGTTTTGTGTTAGTCTGGTTCTTTTTGAAAGGCAAGTTACCAGTGCAGTCACTGATACCTAGCCTGTGTATTAATAACCTAATACCTCTCGCTTTTTAGTCTTTCTTTCGTTTACCTAAGTCCTTAATAAAATAATACCCCTCCGGATTGGCACAAATAGGACCCTTCCGGACTGTCAGAATATGGACCCCTCCGGATTGGGACCCCTCCGAGTTAGTTAATAGTAGACCCCTCCGGATTTGGACCCCTCCGAATTAGCAACTATAAGACCCCTCCGGATTCGGACCCCTCCGGTTTTGTGGAAAAGAGACCCCTCCGGATTCGGACCCCTCTGACTTTGAAAAACTTCGACCCCTCCGGATTGGGAGCCCTTAGCTCTGTCAAAGTAGCTTTTCGTAGTTTTCTTAATTTCAGCTTGTACCCCTCCGGATACGTTCTGCGTTGCTTTTATGCTGTTTAGAATTAACTGGGAAGGGTATAGGGTCCTTTCCTAGACCCCTCCGGATTGAAGTTAAGGCACTTATTTGACAATTCACACTAACGGTGAAGGGTCTTATCACTTGCCTAATTTCGACTCTATTATGGTTGTCTTGTGCCTTCAGCCCTCCCTTTTTGTCTAGAACTGTCCTAAGTTACTTAGTTCAATCGCTATCAACTTTTGGTAGGGGTATAAGGGTTTTTCAGAAAAATTTATAAAACGTGAAGGGTGTACCCCTCCGGATTTGTGTAATTTGCTAAAAACAATCTCAAAAATCTTTCTCGCTCGCTTTTTCGAGTAATTCTCTTTCCTACTAGTAAGTTCAGCTAATTTTTGATCTAATGGTACCAAGATTGACTCGATATGCTCTGTAGTTCCAAAGTTATTAACCAAAACGTCTTTTTTCCAAACTCAAAAATTTTCTCTCTTATAGGTTCCGCCTAACTTTTTCCGCAAATCTGGTCCTTTCGACCTAAAAATTATTGATCTGAGCTCAGAAGGCCTATACTCTTCTAGTTCAATGCAAAAAACCCGATCTAAAACGCTTTTGTAGAAAGAATTTGCGAAAAACTATGCTACCTGGACCCCTCCGGATTGATGAATCCACCAAATCAAACACGTTATGTTCGATTTCTCTGCAACCCGGAAGGCTTTCGGGTAGCGGGTTTTAAAACTCGTAGATTCACTAGTGGACGTTGTCCGAACAACTATTTTTACTGTCCTAACTCAAAGATTTCAAAAAATTTTCTGATTTTATAGTGCTTCTTACTATCAAAAAATGGGAAAATTTGGTTTTTGGTACCAAACTAGTTCCAACCACTTCCGAACTAAAGTTAACCGGTTCTACTTATTACAGTAGTGCAGTTACGATGTAACACACTAACTTAGCGCTTTTTTCCGTTTCAAAAAATATCGATATCTCAAAAATCGCGACTTGTGGGGGGATCAAAATATCGCTATTTTGACCCTAAAAACCGGTCTGTTTTCGTTGTTTTTCACTGAAAAACGATATAAGACTATTAATATAGGCTATATAAGTAATAATATTAGTAATACTATACCCCTCCGGGTTTGTTTATTATCCGAATTAAGGTGCTTAACTCGGATATTCGCAGTTCGGTGAAGGGTCACTACAGTGCAGCACTGTCGAGCCCCCCACAGATTACTATCTTACTTTTTGTACCAAAAGGGATACAAAACTTGTTAACGATACCCAACAGTCGATTGTTGTTGTCGTTGAGCCCCTTCTTGTTGCTCCTTGTACTGCTTGCCGGATCGGTCTTCACCCAAGACCCTTCCGAATTGAGCGCAAATCAGCTGACCCTTCCGGATTGAGCGCAATTTATCATTAACGTGCTTAAATGCTCAAATAACCCTACAGTACAAGCCTCACAAACGGGCCACAAAATTGATCGTAACGATCCTGACTGATATAAATGCCTGTAACAACAATATATCTATCAACAACAAACGGGGGGGTTGAATCACATCTTGTCTGGGGGGATGATTTCTACTGATTTTTTACTTTTTTTTTTTACTGTTTTTGGTTTTTTCGGTTATTTTTTTTTGTTTTTTTGTTTTTCTTGGCTACTATACTATTTTTTGTTTGGTTTTACTTATATCTTTAAGTGTTTTTGGTCACAAACCACTCAGGGGATGAGGGGTTCATGATTCCCCCCACCCTTCCTGGTTCGTGAATTTTCGGTCTTAACTAGGTTAAAAAACTATTCACGGTAATCCGGAAGGCTTCCGCGTTCCGAACTACCCTTCCGCCCCGGCAGTTTAGGCCTATTATGGGCGTTAATGTGAGCATCCGCTCGGCGCGGAGTGCTCGTTAACGGTTCCGCCGGTCATGATGTTATGAAAGAATAACACCCAGGAGCACCATAAAAACATACATGTAACATTCGCCCGGAAGATACATATCGACGGATAACAAAACTAAGTCTTAAGACGACTGGCTAGCGTCTAAACAGAGCTTTGCATGTTTTTCACCGTTTCTACCAAGCCAGTACTTTTCGGTGGTCTTTTCCAACATCGGGTCGACAAAAACGTTACTGTTCTCCGGCTTCGACCAGAACGCTCAAATTAACTGAATTACATGCAAAAATAGTGAGCTCATGGCTGGGTCTCAGTATCCGCAGACCACGAGGTCACTCCTTAAAACAGGGCTACTACTTATTATATTACTATTGTTTTTGTTCAGTAGATAAAAATCATCATCTCCATCGAAGATGGATCAACCCTTTCCCCCCAACTCTTAGCACCTCATCCTTGTCAAAACTAATCCAAATATCAATTAAATTCAAGTCAGGACATGACAGGATGCTAAAAGTTCATATGAGTCAATAAAAGTTTTCCGTCCCGAGACCCTTCCGGATTCTTGAATCCAGTGAATCAAGCTCCTTAAGTTCGAATTCACGATAACACGGAGGGCTGATTTCTTACCCTTCACCGTTGTTCGCAACGGCCTTGCAACTATTGTAGCAGCACAATAGTTGCAACTCGGAACGTTCTCTGTAATTCGTTGTCTTCTTCTTCAATTTCGATTTCCTCAATTTCGATAAAGTTGTTCTCGTCAGCGCAACTAATGTTGTTGTTGTTTTTTCACTCGTTTTTGTTAAAAATGGCCGTTTCAGCATTTCTCAGAAATGTGACGTCATCATTCGAATTTTTGAAATTTTAAAATACTAGAATATTCCAGCCTTCACCGTTTGGCTAAACGTTCCAATAACGCCCTTAGTTCATAAAAACCACCAATCCGGAAGGCTTACTGCTAAAATTCCAAATTCTGCAGAGATTGCATTTTTCACATTCTGGTCGAATGTCACAAACAGACTTATAGGAATGTACACAAAGTTTTTCAAAACTCGCTACAACGAATCAGATACATGCACTTGGCGCATTTTATGCGAATGCAACAACTGTAGAGACCTGAAGAAACTTACACTTATAACTGAAAACTAAACTTTGAACAATATAATGACCGGGTTTTATGCGAACCCTTGGATTATATTCCTAAATCCTTTGTTATTAATATTATGTTATTATTATACTGTTACTATACTAATGCACTGTTACTATAATAGCGTTTCTTTTTCGTTTCGATAAAAACCATCTGCTTTTTAAGGTTTACGAAATGAGCGACGACATTGATTTGTATTCGGATGACCTGGACCCCTCAACTAAAAAAGATGTAAGTTGTCTAATTTTTTTTTGCTGAGCTTGCCACCAACTTTGCACTTACACTGGCTAGTTTATTTTAGGCGGTTCCACCAACGACAACTGAAGAGACTGATCTTTATAACGACGTTCTGTCAAGTAGTAATGCCGAGAGTATGCCAGTTACCACTGAAGTGAAATCGGAACCACAAAGTGAAGCGACAACGACAGTGACAACCAGCTCCTTCAACTCTGCTCCTTCAAACTACAAATATGGCCATGGAGGAAGCTGGACAAGACGAGTTTCCTTGTATATCGGAAACTTAACATGGGTTAGTTGGTTGATTATTTTTCATCTTTCAATTTTTGCTAGTCGGGTTACTTTAAAATTGTTATTTTCAGTGGACTACGGATCAAGACCTTATGGATGCAATTAGAGAACTGGGTGTAATGGATTTGCTAGAAATCAAATTTAACGAAAATAGGGTCAATGGACAATCCAAAGGGTCAGTTAGAAGAATATAAGTCTTTAATCGATTTAACAACTTTTATGTGATTATCAATGAATTGACATTAGGTTTTGTATGGCGCATTTTGGATCAGATGCATCAGCTCAACTTCTTCTCGAAAAACTACCGAAACAGTAAGATTTTTTTATAATAAATATTTTTAGATTTCAATTATATTGTTATTGGCTTACTCGAACTTTGACATTTTCAGTAAAATACAGGGGCAAACTCCTCTGGTAACACCGTGCAATAAACAAAACTTGATGCATTTTGAGCAGAAGAAAGGTCGGTATCATTACTTTTTACTTCATTTTTGTTTGGAATTTGTTTCTTATTCTCTGCGCTATTCGTCAAATCCAGGTAACAATTCTTCAAGCAACGATTCACATGTTACGACGTCTACAACTTTCCAGACCTCTACCAACGTAGTCAACAATAACATGACCACTAATTCAATGGGATTTGTTCCTCCAATGTTTCCTCCGATGCCCCCTGGTGCTGGCAGTTAGTTTTTTAGTAGTTTATTTGACTGATTTTGATCCGATTGTTTTTTTTAGTTTCAAATATGTTTAATACCGTTTCTTATGTTTCAATTGCAACGCGTAATGATTAAAAAAAAGATTTAATTGAAAATTACTACCACATCTAGTTTTAATCAAAACTTGGGTTTCAGTGGTCGTCCCGCCCCGAATGCCTCCTATGATGCCAAGTGTAGACATCAAAACATCTGTTGCATCGGCCCCTGCTTTTCCGGGAATGCCACCGTTCTTCCCACCTGGGATGCCCCCAATGCCCCCTTTTCCAGGAATGATGCCCCCATTTCTGCCGCCCACTAGTGGGGGACCAGGTGGCACTGCTCTGGGATCTCCGAAAGAAGAACGGCGACCTGAAACGTAAGCTTTGGCTTTAGTTGCGACCACTGTGACTATGAGTGGAAGATAATTTTTTATTTTGACCAAGCAATATAGACTATCTCAAAAAAGCTAACAGGGGGTCAAGTATGAAAAAGCTTTTTCAGTCTGGTTCGGATTCTTGGTTCAAAAGTTTCCAAAAAGTTTGCAAAAAAAATTGTGAATAAAACATCCTAAAAACTCTCCTAAGCAGCTCTCGCAGTGTTGGAAAAAACTTTTGTGAATATTTAGGGTTTTTTAACTAAATTAGACTTGACCAGAGACTGTACTTTTTAATTTATTTCAAAGTTTTTTCTTCTTCAATTTAAACGTCTATTTAGTTATGGTAACTACTCGTTCTTACCTTATTCGGCTAATCCAATCACCCTTTCTAGAAAAATACAGGATTATTATACAAAAAATGTTTTTTTTTTCGACTTTGCTATTGGAAATCACTGTGGTCAAAACACTCAGTGCTACTTGGACAGCTACCAGCTATTCTTGTTGAATTATACTTTCAGTACATTTTCTAATAAAGTCTTAATTAACGGTATGAGAGTCGTGATGATTTTCTTTTGTTCGTTATTTTTTAGGATAGTCTTAAATTTTGTTCACACTTAAATTTGATTTTTCACAATTTTTCTTTTTGATTTCTAATCAAGTCCAATTCAAATTTATTCAACCACAACTGAAGATGGGGCACGATTTGTCATCAAAGCAAACGGACTCTGGGGTTCACGAATTGGCCTGAAAATTTTAAACCCCCATGCCAAAACATCGCAAAAACTGCTAAAAGACGCATTCACGAAACGCTGAACAACTCAAATATCTGCAAAGAGTTTTAAACGTAGGGCAGAGTAGCTTGTGTCCGCTGATTTTTGGATGCACCGGTGGAGCTGCTCCGAAAGCCACGCGGACGATGCAGCGGTTAGCCGAAAAACTAAGTGAAAAAAGACAAGACAGCTACCCGGAATCGATTAACTGCAAAGATTTAAAATAAGCTTCGCGCTCCTCAGGAGCTCTATACTATGTATAAGGGGTGCAGATCGCTGCGCAAAATTCAATTTATCGACAACCCTATAAGCGCCATTGTAGAGGAAGGACGGCTAAGATGAGTTAACATAACGACGATGCAGTTAATATCTGATATATGACTTCATTGATACAATGCTACAGTTTGCTGATATATATATGCATTTTTATAACGCTGGTATGGTCCTATCCAGCTTGTGCACTGACCGTAACTAAACGGAAGGGCTTCTTTTGTAATTTACCTTTATTTTCAAATTGTGCTCTCCATTTTTGAAAGTGAAAATAGTGCGCAACTTTTTTCCCCGCGAAGCTCAGAATACGCTGCGATTGGATTAGCGTTATTTTTAAAAAAGTTTGTTATAAACTAGTCTGAAAATTCAAAGAGCTTGAAGGTTATATTTTTTCTTCGCAGCTTAAAAAAATTCAATCACTTTCATTGAATCTTTTTCAGCTCTGTTAGTTGTATTTCAAAAGCTATGTATTGATGTGTATTAATTTTAGACTACTCTGACCATATGTATTAATTTAAAAATACTGTGGTCATTTTGGTTCTTTTTTCAGACCTCCACTGACGGAGACAGAGATAGAAGAGATCATGTCTAGGAATAGACAAGTGTCCACCACAGCCATTGCACGTGCACTGGCAGATGCGAGTAAGGGAGAGTACGAGGATGCCAGTCAGACTCTGAAGCTGGCCATCAAACTCATCAAGCAGTCTAAAGTGTCGGATGATAGTCGATGCCAGGTTAGTGCAATGCGGATGTTTTTATGATTGCTCTAATGGTAGCTGCAATTTTCTATTTCCATTGGTTTTGACAAAATCAAAATCCCAGTAAATAGTTTTGGTAATCTTTGGTTATATGAGATCTGGCTCTTTAAAATTCTGCTGCTGGGATGAGTTATTTGATACCTAATTAAATAGCTCCTTAGAAACTTGGCAATCGGATTGCATTATGGTCCGTATAGTTGGTATGTTGAAAATGGGTGAATTTTTATGATGGTAACTTTTGATAAACAAATCATGCTAAAGTGTTTTCCAGGTGCTGATAACTAGTTTGGAGCAGTGTCTAAGAGGAATCACTCAGAAGTTCTCATCTGAGAGTGGTGGCGGAAGCAGCAGCTCAAAGTCGTTAGTTCTTTTACTACAACAATAATACATATACGCCAAACAGAGGTTGACCTTTGACCTTGCGTTTACACGTTTGCAGGATTTTTCTGAAATCGAGGGATTTTTTAAAGGAAATTTCATGGACAGTATATGAAAAAGATAAAGTCGAAATGAAATATCTGGGGACTGTTTTGTAATTAAATAATGACTCTTATTATAGATATTTTTTATTGTTGATGTAGGTCTCGTCGGAAGCGTTCTTCCCGCGATGGATCCCCAGAGAGGTCGCGAGGAGAGCGCGAGAGTCGATCGGATAGACGAGAGAGGGAGCGAAGTGGCGACTACTACAAACGAAGCAGAAGCCGCGATAGATCAGCTAGAGACGACAAGTACGAGCGAAGAGAGAGCAAACGAGACCGAGAGTATCGTCGATAGTCCTTTCGGGAACTTTAAAAACAAACAACCTGTATTTTGTGCGACCGTTTTAGGTGAGATTTATCAAAAAGTCGGATGTTAAGCTATTTGAATAGTTTAAGGACTAGTTAATTTGCCTTTTTAGTTGATTTTATGCATACGTAGCTTAGCAGTAATAATAAGCATAGCATATGTGTTAAATGACACTGAAAACGGAAGTTACCGTTGGACAGGAAAGTACTAATTTAATTGTCAATCGGAATAGCTTAGACATTTTTATACTCAACAATGCCACCAGAAGCCGTTGTTATCAGAGTTGTGGTATTTTAGTGCGCCACTCAAATTCGATCAACCATGCACCACCATGTTGCTGAATCGATTCTCTCTCGTTAAGCCTGCGCTTTTGATGCTTCTTGTTATAAGAGATTGAGGTTATGATGAAGTTTACCCGATAGGAAATGAGATTAAGTCCTTGTGAAAAAATACGAACTCATCTGTCAATATGTGTTTTGATTTCGTGAATTTGTTTTGTTATTTGGTCGTTAAAATGACTACTGATAATATTGATAATTAAATATTTTACTGGCTCTAAAATAGCTACATTTGTAGATAGATTTGTTTTTGGACGGTTTTAGTTCTGAAGTTTTGGTTTAGATATGGATGTTAGGTGTTAGAAGAATTGTACAGATTTGAACCCCGACTCGTTAATCACGATTTTGGTGCACGAAATATGTATGTATTTAATACAGTATACTTAAAGTGAAGGTGCTCAGCATTTTTTAAAGAATTCATTGAAATAGATAATTTTTCACCCTTGCGATAAACTAGGGTAGTGTTAATTTTTGTATCTGAATCGGATAAACTATTTTTATGTTTTTTCATACTCAAATACTTGGCAGGTCGAACCTGAATCAATGGTGCTTTTATTTGCTTGTCTCCTTTTCCGCTTCTATCATTTAATTTAATTTTGGAAAAATGTTAGCTGACGACTGGTTTGAATGTAACATAATACTTCAGTGCCTTCAAATGCAAAAACCCTTTCATTCCACTTGAACAAAGTTCCAAATTAGATGTGTAAATTAGAAGAATTGTGTTCAATTCAGTCGGTTGCAGATATTTCCCGCCCGCGATGTGGCATACTTGATTTTTGTCTGTTTACAAAAGTTTGTAAGGTAATAAGAAGTAAGAATTTTCTATCACCGTTTTCTTAAAAATTAAACAAATATTACTTGTGGCCATCTTGTAAAAATTAAATTTGTTTCCAAAACGACTTCATACATTAAATTTTTGTCTAAAACTCACAACTGAGTCGAGTATTTTTCATTTCAATGCTGAAGATATGTAAATTGAATGGGATAACCAGGAGCTGTTGCTGTATATATTCTTTGTATATTTGCTTGAGTTTTGTTCTTTGTTTGAACCTTTGAAATTTATGATACAAAAATGTATTGTATTTGGTGTTCGTCCTAATGTTATTCGAAAGATTAATTATCTGATATTTTCAGGCAACCAAGAGAGCATGTTTCAACGTGGGGAGACGAATGGACGTGTATGTGCCCCTATGTGACACTTGATCCAACTGACTGTGAACGAGATCGAACATGCTCAAACTTCATCCCCTAGACACGGCATGATAAAGATGCATTAAATTTACTTTCCCAGTACCCTATGTCTTAATGTTATATCTCGATACTCACTGTTTGATGATTGTTGTAGCTTCAATAAAAGTACTTTCTTCGTTATTTTAATTTATAAGTTGATTGATTAATATTCATGATTTTATCATAAATTGTGACAAATTACGTTCTTAATTGATGAAAACAGGTATTATGAAAATGTATGGGATCGGGTTTTTTTTCTAATTTCTTCGGGTCTGTTTTAGTTTTTTTTTGCTTTCCACGTAAAAAGTAAGTGCCACAAATAATGATGGTACTGGGTTGAGTGATATATATTAAAGCCCTTACAATCGTGATTTGAACCATATTAAAAAGTTTCAAAAATCGAGAAAAACTGATTTGAAAATTTTGGTTTTCGTCTTATTTCGAGCGGGTCAAGTGATCGAGCAGTCTTATTTTAATTGCTTAAAATCTTACAATAGCTTGATTTAAAACGTGAAAACTTATAAATTCAAAGAACTGCAAATAACTTCAAAAAATTTAAGAATTTTTCTTTGATTTTTTTTCGTTTTTCTAGTAATTTTTCTAGAAAAATTGTTTTTCTATTTGTTTATTTTTAGTATGACTGTCGAATATACCTAATCATCATTTTTTTGTTAAGCTACTTTATCACACCACGCCGAAAAAAAAACTGTTTAATTTTTTAAGATTATGGTCGGACTGTTTACCAATAGGAAAGTGGTACCAATAGGAAGTCCGTCCACTACCCTGTGTGCCTGCGTAATCAGCTAGTCTTTTTAAAACCTTAATCCACTTTCTACTGCCTTCGGAAAAGTGTGTGGTGGAATTTTTGACCCATACTTTTGGATTTTTTTTCACTTTTTCTCAAAAACTACCCTCCCAATCTGAAACTTTGATTTCAATTGAAAGGACGCGTTATGGAAAGCGCCACTGTATCAGCGGATACGCCCAAATTCTTTTGCACCAAAAGTTTTGGCCCTCGAAAGAGTCGAATTTTCAGCTCCCTTGTATAAGCTGTTTTGACCATTTTTATTTTGCACAAAAAGATATGGCTCTCGGAAAAGTCAAATCTATCAATTTTTTGAGTTTTTTGAAACTTTTTGACTTTTTTTTCGAAAAGTACCCGTCGAAATCTGAGATTTTGATTTCACTGGGTAGAACAGGTTTTGGGAAGCTTACTTGCATCAGCGGCGGCGACCAATTTTTCTACGCAAAATGTTATGGCCCTCGAAACAATCAAGTTTTCGATTTTCAGACAGTTTTTTTTGTGATTGTTTTTTTGGTATTTTCCCGGAAACTACCCTCCCAATGAGATTTTGGGCTCAATCAAAATAAAGGTTTGAGCGAAGCTCCCCTGTGTAAGCGCTTACGTCCAAATTTTGCTAACAAAAAGGTTATGGACTTCAGAAAAGTCAATGTTTTGATTTCTTGACCATTTTTTGAAACTTTTTGACTCTTCTCGAAAACATCGCTATCTGATAGCAGGGCTTTAATCGAGGCAACAGGTTGTGGAAAAACTCCGTGCATATAATGCTACGCACTAAAGTTTGTAAAAAAACATGTCTGTGGGAAAATTCCAAAATCACAAAAATTTTTACTCATGTTTGAATCGAGCATTATGGTTTTGGATGAAGCCAAATTTTAAATTTTTGGAATTATCTTTCATCCCACATCCGTAAAACGAAGCCAAAATTTATCAAACAGGTAGCTCCAGGTTTAAGGAACAAGTATGCCTGAGAAAAACGGTAAAAGTTAAGCGTTTTGATTGCTGTCCGTTATATAAGTCTCTAAAAGACAACATGCAAAACTGCAATATTTAGGCCTGTTTTCGGGTTCTGAAAAGTTACCGTTAGGAGCTAACGAGCACTCGTTATGTTTAAACCTGAATCACCAAAATCAAAACGAAACACGGATAGCCGGTTACTGTGCAAGTAGCACAGATTGTTCCGACCAGTCTTAAAAAATTACATCAAAATTATTTTTGCAAATTAGTGTAGTTTTTTGGCGTGGTGTGATAAAGAAATCTGAGCGAAAAGTAGAGCTGAGGCATTTTCGTCAGTCAGTGTAAAATATGCAAATTAAAAAACCTTTTGAAACAAATAACAAGAAAAACAAAAAATCAAGAAGTTTTAAATTTTTATCAAGTTTTCAAAATTTTTTGATTCCTACGATGAAATTAAAACCTCCACAAGTTAACTTCATTTTAGTTAAACTAAATTTTCAAGGCTTAAATTAAGCATAAATAAGTTGATGTAAGCCTGCTCACTAGCTCGAAATTAGACGAAAAATCAAAAGTTTTAAACTGGTTTTTCTCACACTGAGAAAACTTTTCTCTACACTGGGAAAAAGGCTTTAATGAAAAATTTCGCTCAATTCAGTTCGATGATTTTTTGTGGTAGCTGATTTTGCGTGGCAAACAAAAAGAAAAAACTGAGAAACACCCTAATACAAAGCTCCTCACCATTTTCAATGGCCGGAACAAAAACAGAAATCAGGTGTACATATTTCTAAGAACAGTGAGTGCAGAACTCTAGAAACAAAAAAAAGGTTGAACTGCTAGCAGGGGCGGATCTAAGATTTTCTCTTGGGGGCGGATTTTAAAAAAAATGTTCTAAATTTTGTCGACCTTTTTTTTAAAACTACCAAAGTGATTTTCCGAGCTCTCCCAAAGCACGAAAAAGTCTGTTGTGGCCAAATTTTCTGCGCCTCAGGTGAAATTTTGAAGAAAGGCCAAAATTGCCGTTTTTGGCTCTTTTTGGAAAAGTTTGACCAAAAAATCGCGTTTTTTTTCGGCGCGCGCTCACCCCTCAAAATTAATATATATTGGTGCCGAAGGTGCCTTTAGAAAAGTTTTAGGGTCCGGCAGCCAAGAATGGATATCTTAAAATAGTACAAGGGGGGGGGGGGGGCTCTTTGGGTCGGCATGGGGTCGAATTCCTGAGAGCATGCAATGTATTTCTTAAAAAAAGGTTACTTATGTGATGTTTTCAGACATAATGGAGAGTATTCTTCCAGAAAACAGCGATTCAAGTGCGCCAGTGGACAGTGGACTCTCAGTTCAGGACCTGAGCAAACTTGAAATCAGCACCTTGACCCCTCTTACTCCCGAGGTCATCAGTCGACAAGCAACCATCAACATTGGAACCATAGGACATGTAGCCCATGGAAAATCGACTCTGGTCAAATCGATATCAGGGGTGCAGACGGTTCGTTTCAAAAACGAACTGGTCCGAAATATTACAATTAAACTGGGCTATGCCAACGCGAAAATTTACAAATGTGACGGAAAGTGTCCAGCGCCTGATTGCTACAGGTCGTGTAGCAGTGATATGCGAGATGTTTTTCCATGTGCTGCGGTGGGCTGTGGCGGAAACTATAGGCTAGTGAGACATGTTTCTTTTGTAGATTGTCCAGGCCACGACATTTTGATGGCAACTATGTTAAACGGAGCCGCAATTATGGACGCTGCTTTGCTTCTCATCGCTGGAAATGAGCCTTGTCCCCAGCCTCAAACATCCGAACATCTAGCTGCTATTGAGATTATGAAATTGAAGCATATAATAATTCTGCAGAATAAGATTGACTTGGTGAGAGATACAGCTGCGAAGGATCAATACAGAGAGATTTTGGAGTTTGTAAGGGGAACTGTTGCTGCCGATGCCCCCATTGTGCCTATTTCGGCCCAGCTGAAGTATAATGTAGACGTTGTGTGTCAGTATCTATGTGAGAAGGTCCCAATTCCAGCGAGGGTGTTCGATCTACCGGCAAAGCTAATCATCATCAGGTCAGGTTTAAAGTTTAGTTCCTCGCTAGAAAATGTAGTTTGGTGCGTTGTTAATCCTCATTGAAATACTCTTAGTCCGCAGTCAGTTTTCCATAATCAGACAACAGGCGCTCTATCTAAATATCTTTAAGTATGACAGTTAAATGTGCTAGTTGAAGTAGTGGAGATTTGCAATGTTTTGCGTATAATCGGCTTTTCTTAGCTCTTTAAAAACTCAAAAAGACTACTTTCCGCCAAATGCATGCGACTAATGACCTTTTTTTCACTCGATCTATATCACGAAACTTGAAATATAGAGTCGTCGAAAGCTTGCTTCATGACGTTTGGGAGGAAAGTTCCGTAAAGTTCGAGAGATTAACGAATTACATAATTTTAGGTCATTTGATGTGAACAAACCCGGCTCGGAAGTGGATGACTTAAAAGGAGGCGTGGCAGGCGGCAGCATTTTACAGGGCGTGCTCAGAGTAGGGCAAGAAGTGGAGATCAGACCAGGAATCGTACGCAAGGACAACAAGAACCAAATCACATGCACACCCATCAAAACCCTCGTCCTATCTCTATTCGCGGAGAAGAATGATTTGCAATACGCAGTGCCTGGAGGTCTCATAGGTGTGGGAACAAAAATCGACCCGACGTTATGCAGAGGAGATCGAATGGTTGGGCATGTCTTAGGAGCTGTAGGAACCCTGCCTGATATTTTCATCGAACTCGAAATCTCTTTTTACCTTCTGAGAAGGCTACTCGGTGTGAGAGTAGAAGGCAAAGAAAAAGGAGCGAAGGTTGAAAAGCTGACCAAAAATGAAGTCTTAATGGTCAATATTGGATCTTTATCGGCTAATGCCAGAGTTCTGGCTGTGAAATTGGATTTGGCCAAGCTGGTTTTGACAACGCCCGTCTGTACGCAAGTGGGTGAAAAGATTGCTTTGAGTAGACGAATTGAGAAGAACTTCCGACTTATTGGATGGGGTCAGATCAGAAAAGGAACCAGCATCAAGCCTATGTATAATGAAAGTGATATGTAAAGATATGCGAATTGAATGTTATTATTTAAACGGTTTCCCGACTACAGTGCTTGAGGTTAATGGCTATGTAGTGATAAGTCATCGCTTTAATTATACTTTTAGCTTGTATGGTTTTCGTAAATGCTCGCCCAGTTTATTAGCGTCTTTTTTTTTACCAAGGAAGTAACTTTTTTTGACAAAAATTAGGAGTATCAAAGTTGAGAACTGCTTATCAGTGTTTAACTTTAAAATGGGCCTTTGAGCTGGTCTTTTCTTGTTGGTAAACGATTGCTGAAAGTTGTACCGAAAATAAATGTTGCCACCAAAATTCATTGCTGTCTGTTCTTGAATCAAATTCTGTTTCATGCTCCTTTCAGGGAAGTTTTTATCAAGCATGCGTTGCAAATGAAAATATTCTCCCTGTGGTATATTTCAATAGGTGTCATCTACAAAACCCAAAATGCCATCTCAAATTTAGCTACATGTTGCTCAATTAAGGAGTGACGTTGATTATTATAAAAAGGTGTAATCATGTACCACAAGACCAATTGGTATAGTTACTAGATGTTATTTTTCGCAAATGTATTACTAGATGTTATTTTTCGCAAAGAGACATTCGATTGTAAGCGCCTATTTTTTTTTCGATTGAACCATGATATGGTGAAAGATGCGTTATTTTTTGTCTCGTTTCTAGGCGAAGTACCAGTTTGCGATCATTTAATGTTGTCTTGTTACTATCAGAATTTTTATCGTTCGGTTGCTAAAGCGTAAAAGTTTAGCGAAAACGAAGGCAAACTCCACTATCAAACAGCAAATGTTTAAAGGTCACGAAAAACGTGATTGAATTCTAATTTCGAAAATGGAATTCAATTTTCAGATTTCCCAGCGAAATAAAAGTTTTCAGTTTGCTCAAATTGGGTTAACTTTGTCAAAAAAGCACCAATCATAACTTTTTCGCGAAATTCACTGAGATTAAAGGGCATATATTTTTTCTTTAAAGTTCCAAGGCTGAAGTTTTTTCAGAATACAAGTCTCTTTTTTTTCTCTTTTCGTTCGTTTTCGGTAAGGCGTAGTGACCCTTGGAGGGTCTTGCCTACTGCAAGTTGGAGGTAGTAGACTTTATACGGAATGGGCTTCTTGAGGCATGTATTGCCGGCTCACGCTTCGCTTTTGTTTGTAATATGCACCCGAATGTTGCGAATTTGCACTTGTACATGTTCACTTCTTTCCCACTGTTCATGATCTCTTCTCTGTGAGGTGGATCGTGCCCAGGCTGCGGAGGGTTCTCTGGCTCCTCAGTTATCGTCTCCTAGGTCCGTGGGACCGTCTGCAAGGCCTCTAGTTCAGGGGCCAAACCCCTAACTTCTCGTCCCTCTAGAATTCGATGATGTCTTCGTCACTTCTACGGAAACTCCCTTACTTGACCTCTCATGAACTGTCATACCTCTTGACACGGTCGTCTCCTTCCCGCATCCCAATGTGCACTTAAATTATGTTCCGTCTTCTCTTGTCCAGGCGATCCTGGAGGTATGCGCTAGCTTGCTCTGTTTTGTTGGGATCCCAACGCAGTGCTGTTCATGGGTGACCATCGAGCCCGATTTAACACTCTGACGTCTAAATTCTTTGGAGCTCGAGTAAAATCTTGAATCTTTGTCGTGTTCCCTTGTGGTCTCTTGGCTCCGCAGTTTGTTCCCTTGTTGTCGTGTTCCCTTGTGGAGTTTTTCTTGGCTCCGCAGTTTGCCGTAGGTGATACCTCTTTGTGAACCTAGTCTACCTCTTCATTTTGTGACAAAGTCACATTGCTCTCACCTGAATATGACCTCATTTACCTCCACTCCGCGTTCTCTCCCGATCTGTTGTTTTTTTTTCGCTCGATATTTTGTCTTTGATATCAGGCTGTTTCCTCCACAGCTCTTTTCATGGATGTCCAGACCGTGTAGAGTAGCTATCTTCTTATCACAGCCTTTCCGACAAGGGTAACCACCAGCTTCCTCCAATTGTTGGTAGTGCTTAAGCTGGCTGTGGCCCATGAGAGCCCTTCTTGTTGGAAACGCTGGGATCCTGTGGCAGAGCTTGCATTGATGTTGAGTCTCGTTTTCACCTTCAGTATTCTCTCCAGTTATAGTTTCCGCTTACTGGTTTCCATTTCATTCGTAGTCAAGGCGGCTTTTCTCCTACGGAGTTTTCGCCACTTTCATCTAAACTTTGCGGTCTTGTGTCCTTGTTTCTAGCTATCCGGGGACTAGTTTCTTACGGAATCTGTTTAGAGCTCGCTTGCCTCCTTGTTTGTCCAATTTTTTTCTTTGTTGTTCAACCAGCTTTTGGTATTTTGTTTCACTAGATTATCGCATGTTATCGGGTAAACGTGACAACCCCATTCCATCGACTGCTTCTCAGTTTCTCTCTTAACAATTGCTACGCTACGCCGAGTTCTCGTCGGATGTTAAACATGTTCTGGTTTCCGGTGCTGTTTTGTCATCTTCTTCAGGTCCGCTTTCATTATGTATCTAGTATTTGTCCAGGACAGTTGGCAGCTTCTTGTACTGAAACTCGTGCCATGGTCGTGACTTGCAAGCATTGAGCATAGTGCTTATGACAGTGACTCGGACGACTTTTTTTTTGCTTTTTGTTTTCCTCGCAAAATCAGGTACCACAAATAATGATCGGACTGGTTTGAGTGATATAGCATATCAAAGTCCTTTTAGTCGTGACCGTATATGTTTACAATAGCTTATTTAAGCTTAATATAATAAGGTGACCCTATATGTTTACAAAAGCTTAATTAAGCCTAATTTCAGCCGTTAAAACAGTTATATTCAAGTAAAGGTAATTTCTAGAGATTTTTAGCGCAATTTTGGTGGGAATCAAAAACTTGAAAATTAAGAAATTTAATTTTTTTTTTTCGTTTTTCTTGTCATTTTTCTTCAAAAACTGTTTTCCAAATGACCTATTTTACTATGACATTCAAATATGCCTTAATTCAGTTTTTTCGTTCAGATTTTTTAAATCTCAGCAAGTAGAAAAAAAATGGCACCAATTTGTAAAAAAATATATATATTTTTTTGTATTTTCTAAGACTGTGATCGGAACATTCTGCGCTACATGCACAGTAACCGGCTATCATTGTTTTTATCTGAGTTTGAACCTCCATTTGCGTCTTATGCATCAAAGGTGGTACCATTTACATCTTTTTGCCATTTTGTCTTGCTGTTAGATTCGTATCTGTTTTTAACATGTCCGAAAAGCACTGAAATTGAGGTCTAGGTAGTTCCAGACTCGCAATTTGACCTCTTGATGATTTATTTGACGAAATGTTTCAAAGTTGCAAAGTTTTTGAAATATAATTAGTAGCAAAAATTTCGGACAGACAAAAATATTTAAAATGAGCAATCAGTGCTTTTTGACATTTTTTGCATGCAAAATCTGAAGCCGAACAAATCTTGAACTTTTTGTCAGGCCAAACTCAAAATGCGAGATCGTCGGATATCCGAAGATTATGCTAGCCTAGTTTTTAAATACTGCAATGAACATCCAGATTTTACTATAAAACAGTTAGCAAAGTTAGTTTAAAAACGAAACACAGAATAAAAAACAGATGAGGCCGCATCAAAAAAAAAACGGCACTGAAGATGATCAAATCATTTAAAATTTGGAAACTAATCGCAGAAAAACAATAACCACCCTGAGTAGTAATTTTCCGGTTTCAAGGTTCCCTATTCGACGCTTCGGATGCAATTGCCCGCCGTGGTTATAATTTTCGAGCTAAACTCTGCTTTATGAACTTTCGACGTTATGTTTATTTCAGTTTTTATTTCCGCTGATGTCTAGACAGTTGCTCTTTTTAATTAAGGCTGTCTGTCTTCAAACGGTTTCAAATGTTAACAGAGTGCATAGCTTGCTTAAAACAGTTTCATTGTTTTGTGGATGGATTCTTGCTATCAGTCGACGTGATCAAAGGTGTGCCTGAAAATTGAAGTAAAATGTATATTAACAAGATTACAAGATTATATTATGTTCTTGTCTGTTTTTAACGTATCCGAAAAGGCACTGAATTTGAAGTAAAGCTAGTTCCAGTTTCCCAATGTGACTTCTTAATGATTGTTTTGACGAAATATTTCAAAATTTCGAAAATTTTGCAACACATTTTAAAATATTTCAAATTTGTTGCAACCCAAAATATTTTAAAATTTTAACAGTCAGCATAGTTGCTTAAAACAGTTTCCTTGCTTTGTCAACCAACTTTTGCTATTACTTGTCTTAATTTACATTTTTTTTCGATTAGTGGAGTGCTTGAAAGCTTAAACCTCTGGCGAATTTTTACGAGCGGCCGAAATAACTTCAAGTGTTTTGAATAATTTCCAAGTTTTTTTGCATGAGAGTTCGCGCAGGGTATTTTTTCTAAACTCGACGAGCTAATAAAAGAATTGATAATTTTTGCAAGATAAGCTACTGACTTGAGATACCTTTCAGTTTTTTTGGTAACTGATTTATGCTATTACAAACATGATTTATGTCCAAGTTTTTTCGCTTGAGGGCTTGCCTTACCTCAAAGTTCTTTTGTCGGGAACTGTTTCAAACTATCAAAACTACTTAAATACGTCAAAATTCAATAGACTTTTTTTTGCGAATAGATTCAAACAATCAAAGGTAATTGAAGTGTGTGACAGCTTTTTAAAAACATATTTTTTCTGCAACCTGTTCAGGCTATCAAAGCAAATCCAAACATGTCAATTTTTCATTGCCTGAAAAGATTGTATAAAAAATAAGGCTGTCGAAAATCCTTTTTGGTGAACTGTAAAATATTTCCGCAATTGTTAATGTTATTCAAACTTTTTGAATTCATTTGAGTTTGACTTCATTTGCAAATAACATGTATGCAAAATTTACAGTTGATGAAAAAGTTTTGACAAAAATAATAATCTTTGTAATAAGAATGAATAAGAATAATAAGAATGAATGACCATAAAAATAGGTTGACCGCGCTAATTTTTTCTAAAATTCATCCGCAAAAATTCTCGAAATCGTCAATTGTTCTTTGTTTATTTTTCTTTTTTTTTCTGTTACTCAATTTAGCTTTCCCTTGCGATTAGCAAGGGTATTGCAATCGGGTTCTAGACTTCTTCTCGTAA